TGGATGAACTACATGTGTGTTGTACTAGTGTCTACAAAAAATTTGGAAATTGGTTGATTGCAATGGCTCAGTAAGTTAAACGCTTGCTCACTACCCTATAGGTCCAGACATAGGTGGAAATAGTACCAATTTGGACCAGTTTTCCCATAATGCACGAGGCTGACTTGGAAAAAGGGTTCAGACGTTCTGATGGAAACCCTTATAACCTCGACAGGAGAATCCAAAAAGAGCAGGCCAATGCTCTTAGCAAAATTGCCTTATCACTCACTCCATGGCATCCCCCATCTTTGTTAGGCCAATTAGATGAAGGCTGAAGGGTAGGGTGTAAAATCAATTTCATTTCATTTACAAATTTGAAGACTGGAGAACAATCCCTGCTAACTCTATATTTCAGATGAATCCAAAGTGAAAACATTAAGAGTTGACAGTGCTAAAGAACAATATTTATTTAACGATTTGGCATCAGTGAATTACAGTATATCTCTTCAAGCTTATTCAGTGGCTGGAGCAGGACCAGAAAGTAGTGCTGTATTTGCTGTACCACTAAAGGCTACAACAGGTAGGTTTGATATTTTGATGTCATTGACAACGTCTGCACTGAAAAATGTTTCTTCTTCTGGTATATGTATATTTAATCGTTGATGGACCAAACATCAGATTCTCATTCTGAAAAGAAATATGTAAAGCTGGTGAAGACCTCTTGTTAGCTGATAAAGCCAATATTGATATTGTTGATTGTATTCATGTAATATTTGGCCATATCTCTTTGATTTGTCAGCCAACTTGTCATAAATTTGTTATTTGTAGATACTGGCTGGAATCTAAAATGGATCATCATTGTAACAGTGGTACTTTCTGTGGTTTCATTTATTTTTTGTTTGTTTTTTTGTAATAGAAAGTAAGTTCACTTTATGTATATTTCATGTTAGATCATCTTCACAATATCAAGCTATCCGAACTTCATCTTATACCTTGACTATAATAACCACTTTTTTGTATCACATATGTTTGGTAATACAGCGATTTGATTGGATTGTATGTAGGAGAATATAGCCAATGAGAGTCCTTGACAGAAAGTCAGAATACAATAAACCGTTATGTTTAAAGTCTCTCTGGCAAGTACTTTGATTGGCTGTCACATAATCCAATCGAATAACTGCATTTCATGATACAAGAAAGGTGCAATCAAGGTATAAGACGAAGTTCATAATAGTTTGACATTGTGAAGATGATATTGGATATGAATTAAATTTCATAGCATCATCAAATACATTGGAATGGAGAAGGATAATGGTGTTTTATCAGAACGACACACAAACAAGGCTAGTCAAGGCTAATTATGCAAAATCCTATACATGTTTTTACCCTTGTCAATAAGTAGGATGTAAAACTCCATTCATTTAATTTCATTTTACCCTTGCCAATTAAACAATATAACTCAGTCTTATCAGTATGTGTCTGGTTTGAACCTATATCATACTTTATAGACTAATGCTGTGATATGCTGAAATCTGAAATAGTTGAAATTAACAATTGAGAATGCTTAATTAATATGTGATCAGATGGCTTCAAATGAAGTCTATTGTTTATAGTAAATAGTGTTTCATATAACGCCTTGTTAAATGTATTATGGGTAGACACTCGGATAGTCAGAAATTTCAATTTTATCCAAAATAATGTTCCACAGTTTTGAAGAATGCATGTTTCTACATCATTTGAAGAATGCTGAAAGTGAGTTGACTCTTGATATTTTATACATAGAATACAATCAGGTATTAATACTGATATTGGACTGTCTTCAATGACTTGTTTATGGTTGTGTTATTTGTTTCAGGCGTATTTGTAAACTGAAAAGATACAAGATTAAAACACCTATTAATAAAAGTTTATCTGTAAGTATTACTGAAAACAAGTCTATATTTTTTATATGATTTGTATCTGTGACCACTATTTCTATTTCATAGGATTTTTTGTAGTCAACATGTCGTAAAATTGAGAAACTACTAGCAAATGCTGTCAACAAAATGGTGGCAGATTCCAACCACTCAGGATCCAATTCAGCTGGGTCAATTGTAATTATGAGCAAAGATGACTTATTCAAGGTCATCAGACTTCCACACGCCAATTTCAAGATTGGAACCTCAAGCTACCATTTGCACGAGGTAACCATGCAAAGTTGCACAAGCATGTAAATATGGTCAAATCTAAAAAGTGAAAAAGAAATAATAAAGTCAGTAAATATAATAGAGCCAATATGTTAATCACTATTATTGAAATTTATTTCTAGAATCAGAGTCCAATGTATTGTGGACTTGATACAAACTCACCAACATATGATGGTGTACCTTCAACACCAAATATTGAGGTAGGGTATTTAACATACATTTAAGGCAATACAAATTAAATAATCTGTTTTACAGGCCCAAAAATTTCCTGATTGTGCCTTAAAATTAAATGTACATTAAATTTGTGGTAATAAATAATAAATGCTTTCGCTTGCTCCGATTTATTCCAGATGAAAATCTAAAAAAGCACTTATAGATGATAAATAATAAATTCACCCTTTCTCCCTGATTTTTGAAAAAAAAGACCTGTAAAACAGACTATTTATTTTGTATGGCCTAACATACATTTAACAGGGATATCAACTTGATTTTTTTGTCACTTTTGCTGCTTCTTCATGAACCTAATAAGGAAAGAAGGCGGTAGAACTCATTTTATATCCTTGTGTAAAAGACTGTGTTATACTTGTGATGTAATTCTTTGAATATTTGTTTTTAGATTATTAAATAATCAAGCTCAGTTTCAGCCTTTCTTAGCATTTAATGAAATTTGATTTAAAAATTAAAACTTGACATATAGGTCTCGTGCAATACGTGATGTCTGACAGATATTATTAATCCTTGAACATTTGAACTACTGAAAATAGAGCCAAATCAACAGTCCTGAAGTAAAGAAAGATTATTTGTTTCAGAATGGACGTATAAATAGTGTGAACTTAGCATCACCAACTTTTCAACATTTATTGAAAGAATCTGTCCAAAATGTGCATGAGGTATGATATATTAAAATGTTTTGATAAAAATCCGTAGAAGCAAGACAATTCCATTAATAGTATGGCAAAATCAAGAGTAGAAATATTATAGTAGTGGACTCCTCCAAAGAGAAGTACCATTAGGTGTTTCGAAAAGAGTAAGCATGGTCTGCTTCACACAAGACACCCGCCACTACTCTCAACATCATGAGATACAACCAGATCAATATGCCCGAACAAACATATCAGCCAAGATGCTAGATATTGCATTTCCCTGTCATATTGGTTAAGCAGGCCAGAAGGGCAGCAAAAGTATCTAGTGGCTTGGTTGGGACATGAACTGAGGCCCAATTAGCTATCTGCTGTCCTTTTTCTTAATTGCAAACTGTATGAGATTCTCTTTATGAATTAATCTGGAGCATATAATAAGAATTCCTTTTCATTCCGTTTATGATTTTCCTCTTCCATGGTAATATATTGATTTAATTGTAAACTAACCAGATGTTGGAATTTCACTCTGAGAAGTGTTACAGACAGTTGAATATGAGCTCTATTAGCATTTGAACATTGTATTTTATGTATAATTTTAGATTTTAAATGAAGAGGAGATATTAACTGTTGATAGAAAAAGTAACAGTGCAAAATTATCAAACACCAAAAATGCCTTTAATGGAACTAAAACTCAAGATTTTTTAAATCCTATGTTTACTACAAGCAATGGATATTGTCCAAACGATACATTCAAATCAGAAAATAATACCCATGAACAACTAAATACTGCCATCTCAAATAATACTCATATCAGCGAAGTAGATTTACACAATTGCCAAACAACAAATCAACTCAACAACCTAAGTTCAAACATTTCCAGTTGCACACTGTTGACAGTTCATGAAAGTCCTGATCTAGATGAAACTAAATGCACAGATGAAAACATTTTGAGGAACACTACATGCGATGATTTGGATCGTCATGGTTTTAAAGATAGATTTGACAGCAGCTTACAGGTAAATGCTGACCATAAATTTACTCCAGAAGTTGCAGAAGTGAACAATTATATTCAAGTTGATCAGGTAAAAGATGTTTTACCTAATGAAGCTAGTGTGATAGGAAGTGACCACAAAGTTAGTTCAGATCCTGGAGTTGCAGAAGTGAATGATTATATTCAAGTTGATCAGATGCCAATAAGTACAATAATAACCCAACCTTCATTGAGTGTTGGGGAAGCTGTTGAATATAAACCAGTTGGTTTAGACTCCAAAGGAACCGGTTCATCAAGTGTCAGTAGCTATGTGACTGTAGGGCTTGAGAAAGACTACGGAAATAGAGACAGTAACTGCTAACTATCAACAAATAAAAACAAAATCTGGAACTGTTTACTGGAGCATATTTTTCAGAATTTGATTCCCATTTAAGATTGTTAGAGTTTATTTGATGATAGTGAATCCAAAAATAAGTAAGTTTGATGACCTATTGTAGGTGGTTTAAGAACAAAAAAGCCTTTTTTACTCTAGAAATATTGCCTTGACTTACCAATGACATGAGCTCAAATATTGTGCTTATAAAAGTTCATAAGAATGCAGTGTATAAGATTTTCAAGTTAACCATGGCAACCAAAGGTTGTCTGGTGCATCATGGTGCTAAGAATGAAACCCTGGTGATTTTATCAAACCGTCCACAATATTGATATTAATGTTCATATTGAAAAGTATTTTACTTCACTAATTTTATTTTTAACCAGATAAAATTAGAACCATATTGAGCTTGACGGTAACGACTTCTTAAAATGGATGTCTTACCTCCTGTTAGAGCTGAATATTCATTATTCGCATCACTTTTCAGAATATAAATCTAATGTGTGGTTCTCTCTCATTTCAAAAAACATATAACTTAGATATATAAATTGTGCTAGCTTCAAGGATGTCCTATATTATTCTCAAGGGCTGTTTTGATTGACAGTGGCATATTACATTATTAAATGTTTGTAGTATAATAAGGTAGGAAAAAAAAAATGAATATGGATCTTGTTTTTGTTTTGGTGATAACACTGATTTAGACGCTGCTGTTTCAAGTGACAAACCTTACATGAACTGCTTTGCTACGTCATTTGTTTTGTCACATGATAAATCATAATGATAAATGCCATAATGATAACAAGATCCACATTCATTCCTTAAATGTAAACCATTAAGATGCACATGAAACATACACCATTCTGCTCAATTTGATCTCTTTACATTGAATAGACAAATCTTTTAAAAAAAAATTTTTTTTGTAACAAAGTTAAAGCGTATTTGTTTTAACACAATCGGATCTGATTAGGACATAATCATTAGTTAGATAACAAAATCCAAATTGGTTGAAACAAATACGCTTTAATTCTATTTGTCACTTTTTTTTAAAGTTTGAATTCATAGTATTTAATGTATTTCTGTTTATATTATTATTTACAGCATGATATAGGTAATATCTAGTCCCCAGCAATTTCTTTTACTCCAGAAAACGAAATATTTTTACCTTTTTTTTTTTTGTTTATTTAATTGTTGTTTATCATTGGAGGCATTATCATATTTATTTTTCCCATTTATTATAATGTTCACATTGTAGGGGACATTGATTATCAATGTTTTCAAACCATTTATTTCCCTTTCGAGAATAAAAATGTATTGTTAATCTGCGATGGAATAACTAGTATACTTGACTGTAAAAGTGCTAATTTTGATATGTAATTTTGTGTGTGAAATCAACAGTGTATTCTGTTTGAATTTAAATTGCTGTTTCCCCTTTCAATGATACAGGATGGAAGGGCTGACATGGACAAAGCATTTAGTCGTTCAGACGGGACAATAAACAGAGGCCCTGTGTGCTGCATGATGTGCACGTTAAAGATCCCTTGACAGATGGAAAAGAGTAGGCTGATGCCACTGTCCTGGCAAAATTTCTCATTGCGCAATGCATGGCGTTGCCTGTCTTCATTAGGCCAATAAGGTGCAGATGAGAAGGACATACAATGTCATTCATTTCAATTTTGAATTTATTTTTTAATCAATATATGAAAAACATAAGTTTTGAGGCATTGACTGTCTTAAGAATCAGATATTGTAAAACAATACTTCATACATTTTGTGTGTAAAGGTACAAGTAGAGGTGGTACAGTGTCTGTAATGGTGTACATTGAGGGGTTATTGATACAGTAGAAAAAAGAAGAAACTGTTATGAATAATCCTGCTGTTGTACTCTGCATCAACACAGAACCTCTTCTAATCCCTCAGCAATATGATAAGTGTTCTTATAACTCTCTAATAGGGATTTTAAAGATTGAAGACACTGATAGCACCAATTTGTTCCACATTTCAATCAGACATGTTTTATTTTATAAACAATATATATTTAGTCATAAGGATTGGGGAACAGGCTTGAGCCTATAGTACCCTTAAAACATAGTACAAAATAAAATAAAAATGTATACAAAATATGCAGTAGAAGGAATATGTATATACAATATAGAATGGATTCAATATACAATATAATACAATTAAGTCAACTTAAAACGATAAAAACATAATATACAATTAATACAAATAAAGAGGTTCAGACATCTATGGTTCCGGCAATTCCACTCAATTTTAGCATTTGATGACATCAGTAATTGCAAAAAGCTTTTAAGATAAACCATACTTTGCGTCATCAAACACTTAGTTTTAGTGGAATGGCAAGAATCACAGACATCTGATTGAAAATTGGAATGGTGCAAATTGATACTATCAGTGTCCCTGATACACATAAAAAATTTAGAAAAACCTTTTGACAATCTCTTTAAGAGAGTTGTATGCATAAAGCTCATATTGTTGTATGTTTTAATATATTTGCATGTATTTTATTAATTTACATTTAGAATAAATATTGAAATATGTAGATTAGTATATTTTTGCATGTCCATAATCTTATGGAAACTGAGGGAAGTGAGCCAAATAATAGGTCTACCTTGTTTCAATAGGGGGGTTAGGTATACAGTATTGCATGCTGGAAAGCGACAGATAGTACAACATTCTTGGTCTTTTTCTTAGCCAACATTTCTCTGGAAATAGACCAGACCTATACTAAAAATGAGACCCACCCTATACGAGAGTAGACTATTCCAGCACCCCTACAGTTGTGAAGTTAGAACTAGCCCAACCTATCACCCCTTGACCTAAAGAATAATAGATTAATCCAATTAGTGATCACTCACCAATCTGGGTCATTGACCTACTGAAGTGAGTGATTTATGAGTAGCTTCTCACCAGAGTGAGCTGATTTCAAAACAGTTCACTAGGTTTTTAAATTATTTCTTCATTTTGTGAACAC